ATACGAGATAAGGAATTAATTCGAAAGGATTAATGAGTCGACAGAGTTTTACAAATACATACGTCGGATATTGAGCCTAGGGCGTCAAGACCGAGCGTCGCAAAATCAAAAAGCGACAAGAATGAACATAGCCCTAGCACCGCACTGGCCTAGCCATGTGGATGCTAGGCTAGTTCAAGCTAGCATGCTCCTAGCATGGCTAGGCGTAAGCCTAAGCACACTAGGTGTGCTAGGCGCACCATCACAACCCATTGCACCCCATACAACATCACTAGGCGCACCATGCATGCCCTAGGATGGCTGGGCGCCATCGCAAGCCAAAGAGCATCACTAGGTGCACCATGCGTGCCCTAGGATGGCTGGGCACCATCGAAGCCCAGGCAGCATCTCTAGGCGCACCATGCGTGCCCTAGGATGGCCGGGTGCCTTCGCGGCCCTAGCACAATGATGGGCACATGGCAGGACCACACGCACCAAGCACAGCTAGTGCTAGGCACTGGCGCATGCGTGATGCGTGGTGCTTGGCTGAGGCTTGTGCATGCATAGTGCATGGTGCATGGCCGAGGCTGGTGCGTGTGGCTGTGCGAGTGTATGCGAGGGAGAGCTAGCAAGCAGCGTCAAGCCCAGCATGCGTGGCTCGCTAGCAGCACGCATGCTAGGCATCGCGAGCATGGAGTTGGATGCGTGGGTGCGCGTAGTGTGGGTGTGTGTGAGTGTGTGAGGCAGTGCGTGCGAGTGCTAGGGCCAGCACCGGCACGCACCAGCGCCTAGCAGCACGCACAAGCGCATGGCACCAGCACGCACAAGCGCATGGCACCAGCACGCACCAGCGCCAGCGCCATCACACAGCACCAGCCCAACACCAGCACGCACTGGCTGGCTAGGGTGCTTGGCAGCAAGGCAGTGCTAGCTGGAAGCCCTAGCTGGCACGCTAGCTGGCAGCCAGCTAACCCTCCTTGACCCGGTTTTGTGCATAGGGTGTGGGGACCAAATCAAGGCCTTGGGGATCAAGGCAATGGTCCCCCCCCCCAAGCCTTGGTCCTCACTTGGCTTTCTATTATTGTGCCATGTGTCGATTTGTGATTGAATTGATTAATCATTTAATTAAATAATTATCACTTTACCAACTCTCCCACTTTGATGGGAGATTGGAAATCAAGGGATCATTTCCCTATAATACCAAGCGTGGGTATTTGGGAATCAACAACCTTGAGTGGAATTAAAAAGGCAACTCTATGTAAGAGTAAACCTTTGATTGGTAAAACTCATAGTTTTTTTGTCCGGGTCTTGACTAACCTTCATGACTTAGGACGCTCGGGTCGGGTCGAGGGTACGATCCGTCGGAGATCTCGTGATTTCGTGATTTTGAAGTAAGAGCTCTTTGGGAGCGAAGCACGCGACAAAGGTATAATTCTTGTTCTTAATCTTGGTTGATTAAGTTTAATATGCTTGTTAATTGTTTTAATTAAGTGGCGGGTCTTGGTGGGTTTCCTTCCGCGTAGTGTTGGGTCACTACGAAACCCTACAGGCATTGCCTACGGGTCTCATGCCTCACAAAGAGACTCTCCACCTCATTGGCGGAAACTTTGAATCTTTGAGTGAGCCTCGGAGGTTTTCGATCTTATGATTGTAAAACCTTCCTAGGAACGCCGTAGTTACCTCATTCCAAGTTGAGAGGGAACCGGGGGGAGCATCCTTGTTCAACCAATGTTCCGCTGCTCCCATGAGTGAGAACGGGAACATCTTCAATCTTATGTACTCTTGGGAGACTCCGTTGATCTTGATAGTGTCACAATACTTGAAAAACTCTTTGAGATGCTCATGGGCATTCTCAAATTTCCCATCGGTAAATTGCCTTTTCTCTATCATTGAAATGAAATTAGGCTTTATCTAGAAATTGTTTGCTTGAGTGGTTGGGGCTAAGATCCCACTTTGAGAGGCGTATAGTTCGGGTGCTCCAAGTTGCTTTAGTGACCTTTGATCGCCCATGTTTCCTTGATCACCCATGCTTTGTTGATTATGGTTATTGGAAAATGGGTTGGGAATTGAGCCTGTGGATGGTTTACCCTCCTCACTTGAAGTGGGAGAAGATGGGGTAGGGGAACTTCTCACTTCCCGTTGAAGTGGGTCTTCACCTCTCTCCCTTGCTTGTCTCCTCAATTGGGCCAGACGCTCTAGCTCGAGGTCTATTGACACCAAAGGCTTAGAGAAATTAAGCCTCCTGTTCATATACAAAGCTAAGCAGAAAGTGAGCACTGACAAGATACTGAAAAACAAAAGAACGGAAAAGAACTAGTCTCACCAAGAAAATAAACACACAATGGAAACCGTCTCCCCGGCAACGGCGCCAATTTGACAAGTGGTATTTTTGGTCCTTACTAAGATACCTGTATCAAATGATATTTGTAGTCTTAAACATGCATCTAAACGAGTATAGAGGCAAGTCAAGGATTTAACACAGGGAAACGATTAAGCACCGCTATTTATCTCCTAATGTTAATCTAGTTCGTTCAAGAAGTATGGTGAGTAATGTAATGACTAAAGGGGATAGAATAACAATTAAAACAAGAACTAGGGGGAAGGATCAAACATGCTATGAATTCAACGAAGTTAGGCATCAGAAAATAGGTTTACATGTAACCCAAGCAACTCATACAAGGCAATATCAAGAATGCTCTCTAATCACCTATCGGGATTAAGAGCCATCCTAGCTAGCATACACTTACACTATTGTCATTGGATCATCCATTTTTCCATCCTTCCTAACATTTCTGGTTTTTTCATGATAGCCTTAATAGGGTAATTAGTACGCACACATATAACATGACTTTCAAAGTATGGGCGTAACTTAATTGAAGCAGTGACTAAGGCTTAAATGATTTTTTCTAAGGAAGCGTACCTGGTTTCCGCACTGAGTAAGGTTTTACACACTAATAGATAGGAAACTGCTCTTTGTCTTCTTCTCTGGTGAAGACTGCACTGATCGTCCCTTATGATACCGCTAAGTACAGTTGTAGTGGCTCTCTTTCTTTCGGCTTGGAAAATATCAAAGGCTTTGCTATGTATTCCTTTAGCTTCTAAAATGCTTCCTCATGTTCTTACTCCCATTTGAATTCTTTGTTCCTCTTAAGCATGTCATAGAAGACTTTGTTCTTATCTGATGACTTGGAAATGAACCTCTTAAGTGCTACTATTCTTCCTGTAAGGCTTTGTATATCCTTTTTGGATTTTTTTTCATTCTAAGCGACTGTTATCATGTACTGAATTGAGATGAACTAAACTGATTAGAGCTAAACTAAACTGAACTAAAATAAACTGATTGGAGTTGAACTGAACTGAAATATTTGACTATGGATTAATGATTTTTAACTATGGATTAATGATCTTTGTTTATTTATTAATATTTATATAAAAAAAATACATAAATATATATAAAAATATTTATGAAAAATAATAGTAATATATATAGTGGATTGTGAAAAAATATCTAAGTGTTAAAAAAAAATAAAAATAATTCTGTATTTTAAATTTGTAAATTGTTTAATATTGTAATAATATATATATATATATATATATATATATGTATATATGTATATTTATATATGTATATATATATATATATATATGTATATATATATATATGTATATATATATATATATGTATATATATATATATACATACATATATATATATACATATACAATATATATGTATTGTGTGTGTGTGTGTGTTTATATATATATATATATATATATATATATATATATATATATATATATATATGTATGTGTGTGTATATGTATATACATATATATATATACACATACACACAGACACACACACATTTATACACACACATATATGTGTGTGTATATATATATGTGTGTGTGTGTGTATATATGTGTGTGTGTGTGTGTGTGTATATATATACATGTATATTTATATATGTGTGTGTGTGTGACAGGAGGTATTTTTGGTCGTTACTAAGACACCTCTATCAAATGATATTTGTAGTCCTGAACATGCTACTAAACGAGTATAGAGGAAAGTTAAGGGTCGAACACAGGGAATTGATTAAGCACCGCTATCTATCTCCTAATGTTAATCTAGTTCGATCAAGAAGTATGGTGGGTAAAGTAATGACTAAGTGGGATTGAATAACAATTAAAACAAGCACTAGGGGGAAGGATCAAGCATGCTATGAATTCAACAAAGTTAGGCATCGGAAAATAGGTTTACATGTAATCCAAGCAACTCATACAAGGCAATGTCAAGAATACTCTCTAATCACCTATCAGGATTGAGAGCTATCCTAGCTAGCATACACTTACTCTATCATCATAAGGCATACAAACTAAGGTCATGCAATAATCAATCACTAGTAGAAAAAACTAAATAGGCACTCCCCCTATAGCACCGGTTCTTAAAAACCGGTGCCAACTAAAACGGGCGGGACCAAAAAATTAAGAGTTGGCACCGATTCTAACCCAAACCGGTGCCAATCATGCATTTAGCACCGGTTCAAACCGGTGCCAACTTGTAAAATTAAAAAAAAAGGATGGGGAAGGAGTTGGCACCGGTTCTCCTTAAACCGGTGGCAAATAAGCAAGTTAGCACCGGTTCCAAACCGGTGGCGTTTAAAAAAAAAAAAAAACGCAGGTTTGCTGGGTTTGCTGCTTCAACCTGTTCAATTCAACGACACTTTCTTCATTTCTCATTTTTGCTTCTAAAATTCCCAGAAATTTTCGCCCTATTCTCTTCTCCCTCCATTTCCAATGAAAGGCTGTGCGAGCTTTCTCCTCTCCATTGAAGCAGTTAAGCTAAGAAACCTTAATTACTCACATTGCTACTTCAATTTTCTGCATTTCCTCTTCCCAAACCCTTCCTCCATTGTAGCTTCCACTGAAGCTTCCATTGAAGCTTCGGCCTCCTCACGCACGCAGCCTGGCTGGGCTTTGTTTTGCCTCCTCACGCACGCATGCACTCAGTTCTTCTCTTTTGCCTCCCTCCATGCATTATTGAAGCAGCTTCGACCTAGGTAAGTAATAACGCTCCTCCATTCACTTAGCTTCTCCATGTATTGCATTAACACCATCGTTGTGGTTTTATGAGGAATTGGTCTTTAGTTTAATATTTGTAAGGTTCTTGTAATTGCTAGGGCTTGGCAATTGCTACTTAACTACTCCATTAAACTCGCAAGGCTCCCCCTCCATTAAACGCACAAGGCTGCCCCTCCACAAATGTAAGTCCTTTGTAGTTGTTATTGTTGCTGTTTATAAGCTGAGAATTCTATTTAGTACAACCTGCATTTATCTATAATTCTAAATTGTTATGAGAATTTTATTTATCATCACTAATAAAGTTGAGAATTTTATTTTGTTTATAGGATAATCTATAATTCTAAATAGTTTATAGGGTTTAGGGTTTAGGGTTTAGCTTATGGTTTTAGGGCAGGCAGCAGTGCTGTGTTGCTGTTTAACTTATGAGTTTAAGCGTCAAACATTTTTCTTCCTTCATTTAACTTCCCTTGAATATACTTTTCTTTACGAGTTGGTTCTCACTATATATGTGTTTCAGGCTAAGAAATGGGTGTCAAGGGCTTCTAGGGTAAGATCATCAGTTTGGAGAGTGGGCGGAAAGCATCCTGGTATCTTACTCTGACTGTCCTTGTTCTTGCTCACTAATATCATTCTTATCTTTTCCCTTAATCTGGTTTTCTATTTGTATTCTATATAGGCTATATTGAAAAAGATTCAGAGGAATATTTGGGCGAAGCATTGACCTTGGCATTGACCTTCTATTTGAGAGTGTTGAGACTTTATAGGTACTTAGGTATATATATAACTTTATGTGCTATATATAAGTTCTTGTTTGCACACTTTTGTGGAGATGGTGTATGATATAAATTTAGTGCAACTTCTATCATGATGTGTGATTAATCCATTGTTTTTTAATTGATTCCATGTATCTTCATATGCTTAGATACTCGTTCAAGGCTTTCTCATTAGGAGAAAGTCTTGAATAGTCCCCAGTTGGGACTGTTCATGAACGTTTACTCTCACTTAGGCGGTGAATGTATGTCCTTTTTTTCGATTTTAAGGAACATCTTGGCTTACCATTTCCTCGATCACCATGTCCTCTTGGTACATATGTGGGTAAGTAATTACCTACGTCGTGTACTTTGAGAACTGGGGGGAAACCCTGCCGGATTTTCCTTAAAATTGAAAAATCGACATACATTCACTAGTAAGAGTAAATGTTCAAGGATGGGTTAGGTTGGAGTGATAAGGGCCCTTTGGAAGCATATATGCATTTTTGTATCTACATGAATGTTATATGCATGTTGTGTGTTTGAATTTGATTCACATATATAATAGATGGTAGCAATTATACATGATTCGTAATATGTTGCCCTGTTTAGAGACAATTTACTTAATGGAGAAGGATCGTGGCTGGATGTATGGTAGACATGATACATTGGAATTCTTTAATGGGGTTCAAGAGTTTTGCGCGAGGGCTTCATCTTATCAGCGCAGAATGGGTTTCAATTACCTCTATTGTCCTTGTGTTGATTGTAATAATGTGAAGGTGGTCAATTGTGTTGATATCATTAGAGATCATGTAGTTTGTCGTGGGTTTAGGCTTAAATACCATGTGTGGATTTGGCACGGTGAAGAAGGAGGGTACAGTGGGGATGTTATTGGGAATTATGTGCATGATGATAGAAACAATGACATTTGTGTGCAAGAGGAATACAAGAATGATGAATATATTGTTGATACTGGTGCTGAGGATGGATTTGAGGATGATCATGTGGAGGAGGTCGAGGATGAAGGGGTGGATGAGATGATGCGTGGTTTTGAAGGTGACGTGTTTAAGTCATTATCGGAGGCTTCTAAAAATCCTTTGTATCCTGGGTGCAAAAAATACTCTAAACTATCCGCTGTGCTAACACTTTTTAACACTAAGTCGAAGCATGGGTGGACGGACAATAGTTTTACTTCTTTGTTGAGCGTGTTAAGTGAGATGTTGCCCGACGGGAATGAAATTCCTAAGTCTTACTATTACGCTAAGAAGCTCATGTGTCCATTTGGTTTGGAGTATAAGAAGATACATGCATGTCCTAATGATTGTATTCTTTATCGAAATGAATATGAAAAATTGGAGGAGTGTCCACAATGTACGAAATCGCGCTACAAGCGCATGAGTTGCAATGCTGGTAAGCAGGGACCGCCTGCTAAGGTGTTATGGTATCTTCCCATTATTCCAAGGTTTAAGCGTCTATTCTCAACACCAACAAACGCTAAAAACTTGAGGTGGCATGTAGAGGGAAGAAAGAATAACAGAATGCTGAAGCATCCAGCCGACTCCCCGCAATGGAAGAACCTTGATATCAAGTTTGGAGAATTTGGTGATGAAGTTAGAAATTTAAGGCTTGGTTTGTGCACGGACGGGATGAATCCATTTGGCACTCTCAGTACCCAGCATAGCACATGGCCAGTATTGTTAGTGATCTACAATTTGTCTCCTTGGTTGTGCATGAAACGGAAATATGTAATGCTTGCTCTATTGATATCGGGGCCAAGGAAACTTGGAAACGACATAGATGTTTATCTTGCGCCCCTTGTTGATGATTTGAGAAAGATGTGGGAAGAAGGGGTTTCTGTTTTTGATGCTCATAAGAATGAGATGTTCACATTGCGTGCAGCTCTTAAGTGGATTGTGAATGATTTTCCTGCGTATGGAAACTTGTCCGGGTATAAGAACAAAGGGAAAAAAGCATGCCCCATTTGTATTGATGACACGCCAAGCAGGCGCCTTGATCATTCTCACAAAGAAGTGTACTTGCGCACCCGAAGGTTGCTCAGGCGCGATCACCCGTACCGTAGGCAAAAAAAGGCTTTCGATGGGACACCGGAAGAGGGGAGTGCTCCTAGGCCGTTGACTGGTGAGGAGGTTTACGCTTGAGTAAAGGGTGTACGAACAGTGTTTGGGAAATCAGAAAAAGCGGCGGAGTCAACTACTCTCTTTAAAAAAGAATCAATCTTTTGGTTGCTCCCGTACTAGAAAGAACATGACGTTAGGCACTGTCTTGATGTAATCCATATAGAGAAGAATGTGTGTGATGCTCTTGTGGGAACGCTGATGAATATTCAAAGTAAGACAAAGGACGGAAAGGGTGCACGGGACGATTTGAAAAAGATGGGGGTTCGTCCAGAATTGTGGGTTCAGCAAAGGGTTAGTAGGGGAAAGGAACAAGAAAAGGAAAATGAATTGAGTTTGAAAACAGGAAAGGGGAAGAGCAAGGGAAAGGGAAAGGCCACAGATGCTTCGAAGAAGAAAAATGAAGGAAAAGCCAAGGAGGGCAAGGCCTATTTACCTCCGGCTTGCTACACATTGTCAAGGGTATAAAACAGATGTTTTGTGCATCTCTGTATGGCATTAAGGTTCCATTAGGGTACGCATCTAACATGAAAAGATTTGTATCCTTAAATGGAGAATTGAAGCTGACAAGTATGAAATCCCATGATTGTCATGTTCTGATGCAAGTTTTCTACCAATTGCAATACGTGGTATTTTACCAAAGCACCTACGGGAAGCTATTACAAGCCACTGTTCGTTTTTCAATACAATATGCAGCAAAGTGCTTGATCCTTGTACAGTTGATGCTTTACAGGCGGATGTGGTTGTGACTTTGTGCAAATTTGAGATGTACTTCCCACCCTCGTTTTTCGACATAATGGTGCATTTGATTCTTCATTTGGTGCGTGAGACTAAGTTATGCGGTCCAGTGTTCATGCGGTGGTGCTATCCTTTTGAAAGACATATGGGTACATTGCAAGATAAAGTCAGGAATCGGGCTCACCCGGAAGGAAGTATGATTCAAGGGACCGTGGCTGAGGAGGTCAGTAATTTTGTGGCCGACTATATAGCCGTTGCTAAACCTATTGGTATTCCTACTTCTCCACATGAAGGGAGACTTGATGGTCATGGAATAATCGGGTCGAAACGAATGTCACCTGATCGAGATAAGTTCTTACAAGCGCACCTATATGTGTTGCACCATGTTGCAGATGTTCACCCATATTTAGACGAGCACATGACTAGTTTGCGTGATGAATTTCCATCGAAAGGTGAACGGGCATTGATGCAGTTGCATAATAACAAGTTTGTGAGTTGGTTTCGTGATCGAATGATGGGTGGAAAGTATGAGAGTGTCACAGATACAGTAAGGTGGCTTGCTTATGGTCCTAGGGATGACGTTCGCTCATTTGAGAGATATGACATAAATGGGTACACATTTTGGACTGAGCGCTAGGATTTGAAATCATCCTTGACCCAAATCAGTGGTGTAACGCTTGTGGCATCGTCAAGGGAGTTTGCAAGTGCTAAGGATAAATCACCTGTTGATGCAGAGTTGTCATACTACGGTCGAATTCAAGAAATATGGGAGCTTGATTATTGTGACTTCACGATTGCTCTTTTCCGGTGTAAGTGGGTTGATAATATCAGGCGTAACGTCAAACATGATGACTTTACTCTTGTAGATCTTTGCCACCTGAATGATAGTGCTGAACCATTCATCCTTGCATCTCAAGCCAAGCAAGTGTTTTACGTAAGTGATCCAGCCGACTCAAAATGGTCTATTGTGCTAGCCGGCAAAAGAAGAATCCTTGGCGTTGGAGATGTCGAGGATGAGGAAGAATATGACGCGTTTGATGACTCAGCACCTTTCACTGTTCCTAGACCTGTTGTACCAAATGAGATAGACGACCAAGCCAATTACATGCGATCAGACCACGACGAAGGAATATTAGATTGAGGTAATATTTTTTGTTAGTTTGAAATTGTAGGCGTCGAACGTATTATTAAATCACATTTTTAGGTGAAAATGAATGAAATTGCTAACTTAGTTGCCCATATTTCTTATTTTCTTTTAAATGAATGAAGTAACTTAGTTCCCCATTTTCTATGTTAATTTGTATTATAATTCAACAAGTTATATTTGATTATAAATTTACCTTACAAATTTATTTATATTACAACTAATAACGTGTTATGTTTGTAATGACAGGTTTTACATCTCATGGCGGATGATCACTACCGTATTGGAGTGGAGAATGTAGAGGATGATGATGATGATTAATCTGGGGATGGGGACGAGTTGTGTGATGTGAACAAGGAGCCTGATTTGGGTGAGGCAGAAGATTAGGCTCAAGATGTTTTGGATCGTATGCTTGATGAGTTTGAAATTGCAGCTGAACAAGCGCCTCCTATCGAGAATGCAATGTCTGAGTCGGTCGGCGAGGATCAAAGTGGAGGGGGGGTGAAGGGACCAGCGCAGAAAAAGCTGAGGGGTCCGACTACAAGTTTCAAGAAACCTGTCAGTCCAATGGTGTTGGAGTATGACAGGGTAGGACAACCTACATGCAAATGGTGTCGTCAGTATGCTGTTCAAGTTGGGATTTGTGCGCGTAAAATCCCTATTACTCTTCGTTTGAGCGACGTACCTATTGGCTTGATAGACACGTTTTGGAATGATACACGGGTAAGTGATTTGTTTCCACATTTGTAAATTCCTTCACTTTATTGTTATTTAATGGGCAAACTAATAATGACTGTTATTTGTGCTTGCAGAGTCTATTTAACATTCCAAATGAGTACGCCAAGCGAAGGGTGTTTGAA